TTATTTCTTAAATTTTACTATATAAAATTTGATTAAAATTAATATAAAAATCATATAGTAAATAATTTAATTACTAAGCTTTAAATTTTAATATTTTTATAATTATTAATTCAATTTTATAAAATTTAAAATATATATTTATCAAATATAAAGTAATCCATTTAGATAGTTTAAAGTTTTAATATTATAAATTAATAAGAATAATATTTAAAATATCTTTTTTTTAAAAAAAATTTTATTTTAGTTTTTTTTAGTAAAGTAATATTTTATTTATTATTAAATTAAAATATAATAAAATAATTAAAATAGTATAAAAAGTAAATTTAGATTATCTTTTATTTAATATAAGAAATTATAAAAATTAGTTAAAATTTAAATAATTTTTATTATTAATTTTTATATTAGTATATTAATTTTCTTGTAATAATTCATATTAATAAATATCTATCATGAAATAATTATATATATATCTTTTTAACTTATTAAAAACTAAAATATTTTACAAAATAAATAATATAATTATAAATAAATTTAATATTAACTTCAAGCAGATAAGCTATTTGAAAATATTAATATTTAAATTAAAAATAAATAATTATTATATATTTAATATTTTTAACTTATAATAAATAAGATCTTTTTAATATAAAATTTTTCTGTTTTTTTATTTTATTATTATAAATATAATAATATAATTCTTAAAAAATAATCTTTATTTTAAGTATTATCATCATTAATAATTTCTTAAATTTAATAAATTATGTTATATATTTTTAATATTATTAATATTTATAAAAAATATACTTCAAAATTATTAATTGAAAAATTTTCATAGTAAAAATTATCAAATTCAAAAGAAAAATAATTATAATTTAATAAAAGTATAGCTTTGATAAATCAAATAATATCTTATTTATTGCAGATTCACTTGATCTTATATATTAAGTAAACTATTATGAGATTTATTTTTGGCTTAAAGTATATTAAATAAGTTATTAAGAGAGTTATTATGAAATTTGACTTGATTTATATTAAGCAAGTTATTATAATAATATTTCTTGACAAGAATATGATATTAAGTAAAGCTTTAAATATTCTTAATCTTATAAATAATATATTATTTAATATGATCTTAATATATTCTTTCTTTAATACTTATTATTTCTTTTTATGCTAAAAAACGATTGGTTAATAAATACATATATACAAAATTTACTGCGGCTAATAATCCGGGCTGGTGATCGAACACCACATCCGACTAGTGATCGACAAAACCTGGCACAGATTTTTGACAGGAATCCCGATAGTCAGAAGGATCGGAATCACATGACCCGCAACTTTTTTTTCGCCATGGCTAGGGTACTTTATATTGCATGCATTCGGTTGTATGTCATTTCTTGTCTATTATATCAACATTCATTGCTAATGGTGTTTACGTATTCTCTTATAATGATTAAACAGTAAAGTTGGACACAAACGCAAACCATTCTTTCTAGCAAATCATGATCAAAATTGTACCTCTTGGAGCAGGACAAGATGTCGGCCGTAGTTGCATCATTGTATCAATTGGAGACGAGATTACAGGGACAAAAAATATAATGTTTGATTGTGGAATGCATATGGGTTACAACGACGAACGAAGGTTTCCAGATTTTTCTTATATCTCAAAATCCGGAAATTTTACTGAAATGTTAGATTGTGTAATCATTTCACATTTTCATTTGGACCACTGTGGTGCATTGCCATTCTTTACTGAAATGTGTGGCTATGACGGACCAATTTATATGACACATCCAACAAAAGCTATCTGCCCAATTCTGTTGGAGGATTATCGCAGGATCGCAGTCGAGAAAAAAGGAGACACAAATTTCTTCACGTCACAGATGATTAAAGATTGTATGAAAAAAGTTAAAGCTGTCAGTCTGCATCAAACGATCAAAGTGAATGGTGATGAAGATCTTGAGATTAAAGCATATTATGCAGGACACGTATTAGGGGCGGCAATGTTTTATGTACGAGTGGGGCAACAATCAGTAGTCTATACCGGCGATTATAACATGACACCTGATAGACATTTGGGAGCTGCATGGATTGATAAAGTACGACCTGATATTCTAATCACCGAGTCAACATATGCTACAACAATTCGTGATTCAAAAAGATCACGCGAAAGAGATTTTTTATCCAAGGTGCATGAATGTGTAACCAGACAGGGAAAAGTTCTAATTCCGGTGTTTGCACTAGGTCGCGCTCAAGAATTATGTATTCTATTGGAGACTTACTGGGAAAGACATGACGAGTTAAAGAATATCCCGATATATTTCTCGGCCGGCATGACCGAAAAAGCTAACGAATATTATAAATTATTTATTAATTGGACAAACGAAAAAATTAAAAGCACGTTCGTTCATCGTAATATGTTTGATTTCAAGCATATAAAACCATGGGAAAGATCTCTTATTGACGAGGTTGGACCCCGCGTATTATTCGCCACACCAGGAATGTTACATATTGGCACCTCGTTAGAAGTATTCAAAAAATGGGCAATTGACGAAAAAAACATGTTAATAATGCCCGGATATTGTGTGGCTGGAACTGTTGGTGCAAAAGTTATTAACAATGAAAAGAGAATAAAAATTGATGCGCAAACAACAATTGATGTGCAAATGCAAGTCAGTTATATGTCATTCAGTGCTCATGCTGATGCCCAAGGTATAATGCAATTGATAAAACAATGCGAACCTAAGAACGTCGTATTGGTGCATGGGGAAAAAGCCAAAATGGAGTTTCTGTTGGACAAAATTAATAAAGAATTTAAAATCCCATGTTATAATCCGGCAAATGGCACAACGATTACAATTGAAACAAGTCTCGATATCCCAGTAGATGTATCGGTGAGTTTATTGAAACAGCAAAAAAATATGACAATGCAAAAAAGAATCATGTCGCCGGCGTTGTCATCTACAATATTCAATTCAAAAAAATTTGTGGACTTTAATAAAAACTATATTAAAGAATTGAACATTGACCATTTGAAGCCGATACAATCGATTCCAATTCAAGGATTGTTAGTGATGCAACCAAATCACAAATTACGATTAATTGATTCAAAAGAAAAAATTGCTCTTTATGATGATAATAATAATCATGCGAAATTAAAGAATCACAATTTATCCTTTGAGATAATCAAAAAATTCAATCCGAATGAAAAGGATCCACGAACAGAGAAAATAATGGTGAATTTGTTCGATGCATTAACAAAATCATTCGATCGCAGTTTAATAAAAATCGACAATGATAATATATCAAAGATTCAAATTAGATCCCTATCAATATGTTTATTTTCTTCTGCTGCTACTACGGCTGCTGCCTCATCATCTTTATCACCAATCGAAAAAAAGTTTGTTAACTTAGAAATTGACTCTTTGAAAATATCTTGGGACTATAAAGATGAGGATTTAGCGAATAAAGTAATTCCAATAATAGATAATATTTATCAATATAAAATAAAGATAGATGATTCTCTTCCCCCGAAAGTTTTTGTTCATTAAAATGTAAGGGCGATATCATGTGAAAACGAACATTAATATTACTTCATGGTAATATTATCCCAAAAAAAGCAGAAGTTTTTTATGATCGAAAAAAATAAATTAGTAATAAATTTTAAAAGATATACAGTTTAAAAATATAAAGATAAATAAAATATGAATAAATAAAAATAAAATAAATATTATTGACAGGACAAGGATAAATATCTCGGAGATATTTAAAAAGATACTAATTAACTATTAATTCATAGTATACAACAATTATAATGAAAATTGATGGTCAAAATTAAATTGTTAAATTAAACCGGAAGCTTTAAGATTCATTCGTTGCACAATGTCATTAACTGAAGCTACAATAACACGCATTTGTTTTGTATCCTTTGATGTAATGAGATAGGAAATCAATGAGCAAAATTATACATTAAGTGGTTCAAAATAAAGATAGAATAGACAATAAGCTTACTGTTGCATGTGTGAAATGTACGTATATATGTTTCTCAGTGTTGGAATTTTTCGCTAAAAATTGGCGTTGAAAAAATTTTGTGACAGATTGAAAATCATTTGCGCCTATGATTTATATATTTCATTTGTAAGAAGTTGTAATCAATATTATTAACGGGGAATTTTGGAAAATTGATCAGATACCTTTATATTCTTCGAAGTAATCTTTTACTTTGACTTTTTGTATCTTCTTCTTTAATATATCAATTTTATTCAAGAACAATATAATGCTTGTGTTTATAAATAGAGGATGATTGCATATAGTGTCAAATAGTTGAAGTGAGTCACGCATACGATTAACATCTGAATCTTCCTCGAGAACTTGATCAAATGCTGATACAGCAGCCATGAAAATTATAGCATTCACGTCATCGAAATATGGTCTAAATAAAGAGGAGTAAAATTTTAGAAAAACTTTTTCTAGCAGAAAATAAATGCTATAAAAAAAATAATAATGATGATAATATGGTTTTAATAATACGTACGCCCAATATTGGCGTTGAGACCGATGACCACCTACGTCAAATATTCTGAAAATTTCAGGATCACTCTATTAGCATTATATAATTGAGAGAATTGTGAACGTCAGCAAACTGACCAGAAATTATTAAAACAATAATTGTAAAGAAATTGCACCTCCACTTCACCCCTTTGATTCTGAATTCATGCTCTGTCACCCCAATAGTCCTCACTCGAGCTTGAAGAATATCATCATCTGTCGGTACATAATCTGGTTGAGCAAATCGTTCTACATGATCCAGAAAACTAATAATAAGAAGACAATTAGAAGAGTATAGAGAGGATAAAATTGAAAAAAATAATTTTTATTATTTACTATTTTGCTGAATCCTGAAGACCGATATTACTAGCTTTTTCAAAACACTTTCGTATCGCGGCATCAGACCATAATGCTTGAATAGATTCAGAATGCTCTCGAAAGGTCTCTGACGCAGTATCATCATCAGATTTTTTATCTCGAATTGCTGCCTGAACAGTTAATGAGTTACGATTTAAGGTAACTTTGATGGTGGTTAACATTTGGAATTTTTCAAGATGTTCTTCATTTTTTGGATCGTCCAAAGAATTTCCAGAACTTTCGAGTTCACTTGTCAATGCCTTCATAGCGGTGAGTACATTTAGATGCACTATACGAGCATACTGTCTCCGTTCTTCTTCAAGGCCATTTCCATGAATGATTTTTAATTGTTTTAATACTGTAGTTTTGCCACTTTCAGATGATCCTACATGATTTATTTTAAATGTTGTATATAATTAATATAATATAATAAATCTCTATATTTGTATAACTAACCTAGTAATAACAACTTAGCACTCTTAGTTTTTTCCATCTCTTCCTTTTCAGCTTTAAGCTGCCTATCTATTGCTTCACTATGTTTTTTTGCTTCCTTTTCTCTTTGTATGCGCCTTTTCTTCTCCTCGGGAGTCTCGTTTGGAGGAATATATGGATTAAATGGATCTCCCAAATCACTCATCGCCATCGAACGCGCAGAAGAAGCCATGTTGAATTTTATTATCGAAATATTTGATATGGTACTTTAAACGAAAGAAAACTATGAAAGTTTTTAATACTTTTGAAAATATGATACAAGAATAAATTATTAATATTAAAAAATATATAAATGATATATTCTGAAACCAAAGGCGCTTTTGACATATAACCCTTTGTCTCGTCAGTCATAACATTATTAACAATATAATAAATAATTCGATATTGTTATCCATTCATAAATTATCGAAATCTCTTAGAAATCGGGTAAGTAACAAATATCTTCCGGGTATATATGATCGGACGAAATATTGGATCAGACACAGATTACCAATCAAAAAACGTGCAGATAAAATGCTATCGAATATAATTACAAGATTATTTATAAAATATACAAAAATACAGTACAAGTTTTTAATATTATATTATTTGACAAATCGATCTCGTCGAGAATTAAATCGACAAGATTTTTTATTATTCATAACCACCTAAGGGTAAAAAAGACAATTAATTCAATCAATCAATCAACCAACCAACCAACCAACCAACCAACCAAAAAAAAAGAAACCTTTTTTTTTACCGTTCTGATTTCATATAAAAATCCTCTTTGGATATTTGGATTCCGTAAGCCGAATCGCTGTTCATTTCTTAAAGAACTTGCAGCTGGATACCATCTAGACATTTCATTCCCATGCTGACGTTCTGATGCAATTAATGCTGCTAAAAATCCAGGCGTTATGTCAAATTCATTTCCAACCGTAAATTCATTGCTATTGTTTCCAGACATTACTAAATTATCAGGATCCTTATTACAAATATTATAACCGTTGAGATTACTATTATCACTAATACTATGGCTATCATTATTACTAAATTCATCTTCCTCTTGCTTATGATATTTTTTTTTATCATAATCATCATCACCATCACTATTTTCGAAATTTTTGAATACATCTTCCTCGAGATTCTTTTGGTTACTGCACCAACACATTTTTTCTGGGTCAAAGATCATATTTTCAGTGATTTTATCATTTTTTGTCGTACCAAACTTTGTATTTAACGTTGGCTTATTACGAGGTGTCAAATAAGCTTCAAATTCTTTAAGGATTGATTCATTACCATCCCATTGTTGTAAATCAGGATTATATACCATTTCTCCAACGACTAAATATAAAAATTCATCATATCATTATCATCATCATCATCATCATCATCATCATAATTATCATCATTTTTAACATCATCTTACCTTTAGATCGTTTAGTAGAATTTAGATTACGAATCAAAGTTGGTTTCTTTCTCCATTTCTAAAAATTTGTGATACAGGAAAATTATTTATTTAAAGGGTAAATCTAAATAAATGTCAAATGAAAATATTATTTACCCTTCTAACAGTATTCTGATTGTCATCACTATCTGGTTTTGCATCGGATTGATTATGCTCAGCAATATCCTTTGATGAAACTGTGTAATTTGTTTTAATAGTTATTTTTTTCGCTGTATTCATGATTTTTTTGGATGTTATATTATTTTTATTCTTGATATTAGTAGTAGCAGTAGTGGTATTTTTTGTTGTAGGATTCAACGAAGACTTTTTTTGAGTAACTTTTATATCCGACTTCGTTTTTAAATTTTTGTTAGAAGTTGATGAGGATGAATGTCTATGACGCTGGTGAGATTTGTTTCTAGAATCCTTCGATGCGACAGTAACCGTAGTAGATTCAAGTGTGTTATGTGAAATCTTTCTATTATCGGTTGAAACTTTATCAAAGTAAGTAGGATCAATCCGAGACATATTTAATGCTTCCGATTTTGTGTCTGAAACATTATTTCTATTTTGAACATGCTGCAAGGAAAATACATGATCATCATCTATAATCAAGTCAGACCAAAAGTCATCCTGACTGGAATTTTCGTTTATTGAAGACAAATGAGTAGACTGAGGACTAGCTATAACAAGAGATTCCATTGATTCGGAAAAGTGTACATGCTTGAAAATATCGTCTTCTGACTCGAAAGATTTAGAGCTGATAGATGAGGACGAGGACGAAGACGATTTCTGTGACTTTGATTTAATAACATTTCTCTCTGAATGTTTTGAAGTCAACGAGCTAACACCTTCGAAATCCGTTTCAGTAAAGGGTGTTAAAGAAGTTTGTTTCAATGTCAAACCAAACCTTCCTTCTGAAAGATTTGAGAAATCAAAGTCATCGTCAAACAACTCGGGTTGTTCAAGTTTTGAAGCAGACTTTTTTCCAATTTTCTTGGTCGTAATCCTTCCTTCCTTAATAGTATAAAGACTCCCCATTAGATGTTTTCGAAAAAATCGAGTCTTATATTAAGGAAATTAGGCAATTCATTATCTGTTATCGTTATGATATGTGTGTAAGGTATGTGTGTGCCACAATAGAACAAGTCATCAAGAATAGTTTGTTTGGTCTAAATTCGAAATATTTAATTCTATCAGTATCACTTTTTTTTCACATTTCAAATTCCTAATTTGGGTTTTACCCCCTGATATAAGCCACAAGCCACTGATTGATGTTACATTTTCCTAATTTGGGGAACGGTTAAAACTAGTCCATCACGTGATACGAGTGGTTGATATACACTTTGGAATCGATTCTTCGAGAAAATAATAATCCTATAACACATACGTGAGAGTGTCATTATGTTGAACAAAAAATAAACTTTTTTACTTTCTTATTATTTTTTTATTCAATATAATAAATTCTCTCTTTTCTTTTTTTCATTTCTTACTATTCATTATATTATTCATCACGCTATATTTATTAACAAGTTTATATTATTTTTATTTCAATATTTACTTTTCAAAATACTTTGAATTACAAAATTAAAGATAATTTTTTTTTAAAAAAAGTATTCTAATTATATACAGCATACTAAATTTGATATTATAATCATATAATGGATGGTTCATAGATGATAATATTTATTTTTACAAAAAATAAATAAAATAAATAAAGATTCAGATTAGTAAATTGGAATAAAAGTTGAATAATAGTAATTATATGATTATATGAAATGAAAAGATAAGATAAATTACTCATATAAAATGATTTATTATTACTATATAAGTAATTTTCATTAAAGAAATTATAAATTTAAAAATAAAATTATTACTAATTAAGATAAAAACTTTTATAATTATCAAAATATAATTAAAATATATTCTGTAACAATTTTGATTAGATTATCTTTCTTTAGATTCCTTCTAGTTTAAATCTTCATTTTGTATTATCTGTATTACAGATTAGCTTTGTATTATATTTCTAAGAAGATCAATTTCACTTTGGATACACAGATAATCATTATGTATTTAATATATCTAGATTTAGCATATTGTTACTCAAATGATCATTATGTATATCACAATTATTAATTTAGAATATTAATATTTTTAATTAATTATTTTCTTATAATTTTATTTATTCTTCTTTTATTATTATTTATATTTAATTTATTATATTTATAATTATCATTATTTATTGAATTATAATTAGTTGCTCTCCGGAGACATAAATTAAGTTAATTAATTCTGTTCAATCATATGTATTTTAAAAATAGATTTCATTATTAATTTATTCACTTTTTGTATTCATTTCTTTTGCTATAAATAAGATCTCTCTGTTCTGTAATTTTCTCTCAGATCTGAATACTTTTAAATAATAAAAATAATCATAAGTTATAAAATTAAAACTTATTTATATCACATTTTATCTTGTTTATAATCATTAACAAAATAATCTTATAACTTGATAGCGGCAGATATGATTATTATAAATATTACCCTCTAACATCTTACACTTATATATCATATACTACATACTTTACACATACACATTTAGTTTTATTAAAATAATATTGACAAAATGAATACAGAATAATTTACACAATTCATGATAAGCATGACTGAATTGATTAAAATAATAAAAGAAAATAGTTTCTCTGATTCCAAACTCTTATCTCATCTTTCAGTTAAATTACTTATACACTCTGGAAAATCTAATGAAAATATACTTGTCTGGATTATACAAATTAAAACTATATTCTTGACTCAAGAAATTATAGATGAAAAGATACAAGTATAATATACAGTAATCTCTTTTACTGATATAGTATTATATTGGTATCTTAATAAATGCAAGACTAATAATTATACAACATCTTTTGAGAATTAAAATAACTTTATTATAGCACTTAGAGAAGTCTTTCAATTATTTCATTATCAATAACATCTTTGCAAATAACTATATCTTCTTTATCAAACAGAATCTGTACAAGACTATGGTATAAAGTTTAAAAATATAGTTAAATAAATCACAAACATGAGCGTTCTAAATCAGGTCACTTATTTTATAGAAGTTTTGAAACTCACTACAAAGATAAAGATAAGTTATCAAATATCAAAAACTCTAAAAGAAACTTGAAAGCTAGCTATTCATTATGATACAGCAATATATAGATAAGACAAATCACTAGATCTATCAAACAAAAATAATAACAGTTATCACTTACAGAATCAATACAGAAGTTACCAAAATAATGGTCCTATATTAATAAAACTTGACCAGGCAGAAAGTCATTATAACAATAAAAGAAATAATAACAACCAGAAGAATAACAAGCCCAAAGATATATGTTATAACTATGACAAATCAAATCATTTCATCAAGAATTGTTATTTTAAATCAAAGGTAAAGATTACAAATATAAAAGATAAATAAGAAGAATCTTCACAATCTTATAAGAGAGTTGAGTTTATTCATTTATAAGATAATAGAGAAAGATTATTAAAATTTAATAGCCAAATAAATGACAAACTAGTATGGATATTACTTGATAATGATACATCCAGAAACTTTGTTGATGAGAAATTTGTTCAGAAAAATAAAATTAAATTACAAAAGATAATATCAGCCACAGTTAAACTCACTGATGACAAAAAGATAACAGTCACCATCATGATAAAGATTGATAAACTAAAGTTAGATATCTATAGAATGCACAAGATAAATACACAAGTTTTAAAATTGCAGAGATATGACTTAATCCTAGGTAAATCTTGATTATTTCATGTCAATCTTATCATAAACTAGAGAAATAATATCATAATCTTTATCTATGATTCAAAAATAATAAAAGTACAAGCTGATAATGAAGTAAAGTCAGGCTCAAGTTGCAATTCAATTTATATCTCAAGATAGTAAATTACAAACCTACTAACAAATACAGAACTCTTCATCATATATCTTAACAATGCTAAAGATAAAGAAAAAGTAAAAGAAAAGTTACTTTCATCAGAAGTATTAGATATTAAAAAAAGATTTTAAGATATATTCCCAGAAATCTTATCAAATCAGTTATTATTTAAAAGAATAATTGATCATAAAATTGATCTTATCTCAGAATCTGAATTATTATTCAGATCTATCTACAGACTTTTTTTTACAGAGATAGATGAGCTTAAGAAATAATTAGCTGATTTAATACAGAAAGATTTCATTCATCCAAGTATCTTATCTTTTGAAGTATCAGTTCTTTTTATACTGTTGTGATATGAACTTTTAGTAGAATATTAGTTAATTATATTATTGATCACTTCATATCACAATATGATTGGATG